TGCATATTAAGCACTGCAAGCAGTAGATATTCATTGGAAGCAACGAGAATTGTCTCATTTGTATTGCAAACAACAGGTGGGATTAGATTGACATCTGTGCTCGCGTGTGCTGTTCTAGGTCAGCAGGAGTCAGGAATGGTAAATTCTCTGATAAAGACATTTCTCCATTTAATGCTGGATGTGCGTTTTCAATAATGAAAGAGCAAGGCCTTTGTTTGAGAGCTCATTTCCAGAAGTCTGACGGAGAAGGTTCTCAGAGCAGTTCAGGACCCAGTCTTGGTTAAAATGGATGCTGAGTCAGGCTGTTATTCAGGCATCACTGTACTGTGACATTACAGTGCTGCCACAACTGACTGCCACAGGTTGTCCGTGGCCTCCAGATGGGAGCTGTGGAATGTGTGAATGTACATGGGCACATACACACACATGCATGCACACACATACATATGTGAAAATGCAAAAACAATTTTTAAAGATGTCGTAAACATGACTCATCAAGGCTGGGGATGAAGCTCAGTTGGTAGAGTATTTCCCTAACATGCGCTCCCTGGGTTTGACCCTAGCACCACAGGAACTGGGTTTGGAGGCTCGTGACTCTTTTCGCTTTGTAGCCCAGATTGACTTCAAATTCATGACCGTCCTACTCCAGAGTGCTGTGACTACAGATGTGCACCACCAGGAAGCTGCTCTATTTAAGATCTGGTTGCAGATTGCATGGGTGTCTAGTTGCGAAAACATTAGGACTTCTAATAATGACATGAAAATGTATCAGTTTCCAGTAAAAGGTTTACAATAATAGAATGGAATTAGACTAGGTGTAGAGGTGGAAGAACACTGTTCATAACAACATTCTGAAGAAATGATCCTTCTAACTCACTTTATAATCTTAGCCATGAGATGCCTAGTAAAATACATCTCTTAGTATAATCAAAGAAACCAGTTCTGTGCTGATGAGTAAGAGAGGAGAGTCTTTTGTTTCTTTAACCACAAGAAATATATCTCTAGCCAATAAAGGGTTAAAAGGGTTCCAATTAAATATTCAGGTGTCTGTATTGGAGTATAATGCTAAAAATGACTCATAATACATTGTTTTGTTATGGGTTTAACCAGGTTTTAATGTGTTTATGTATTTCTTATGTATATTTATTTTCAAGTTCATTTTTCTCTTACCTATAGCAAAATACTCTTTTCCCTCTCTGCTTCTAAAAGCTAATGTAATTTTCACTTAGAATAGGAATAAAATTGCGTATGTATTTTAGCCTAGAAAGCAGGCTTTGTTTTGACAAAGCATTAGTTCCATGGTTACTATTTCACACTGTACAATCCAAACTCATTGTTTAACAAGCCCCGTATTTTAACTGTATCCTTTTTGCTGTATTTTATCCCACAGCAATGCACATTAGCTTTCCTACAACCATTTTGCTTAGGGAAGGTGCCTCAAAGATTTTTCTTCATACTATAAGCTACCAAGAAAGAAAAGGTCATGAAGATGTGTGAAAACAGGCACTGAGAACTTTCTAGCACACCAGCCATGTATCATATGTCCAACAATTACTTTTCAAGTGGCCTTGGGGTGCTAAGCACAGATTCAGGCATCAAACATTTGACAAAATAATTGTTAGGTAGGTGGGTTCTTTTTAAATTAAAAAATGTGTGTGTGTGTGTGTGTGTGTGTGTGTGTGTGTGTACATGGGTACAGTTGCCCACAGAGGCCAGAAGAGAGTGTAGGATCCCCTGGAACTAGAACTACAGGTGGTTGTGAGCAGCCCAAAATGGGTGCTGGGAATTGAACTCAGGTCCTCTGCAAGAGCAGAAAGTGCTCTTAACCACTGAACCATCTCTCTAGCCCCACATGTGAATTTTTTTTATTCAGAGTTTTCCTGTGGCCCCTGCTGGCCTGGAACTCACTATGTAGACCAGGCTGACCTCAGTCTCCCAGAGGAGTGCCTCTGCTTCCTGAGTGCTGGGATTAAAAGCCTGAGCCACCACAGCCAGCTCCACATGTGCTTTTAATTTCGGCAACTCAGTTTCAAATGGTAGTTATGTGGGGTACCATCTTTGTAAAAGTCAGTTAGTTATTCACCTCTCTGAGTCATTTCCAAAATAAAGATATCTGTAATACCTTTGTTAAGAATGCAAAGTAGGATATTATATTCAAACTACTTAGAACCATTCTTGGCATGTGAGAATACTTGTTTTTGTTACAGCAAGAAGAGACGAAGTCTAGTAATTTTTGCCAGATTGTCTAAGGACTAAGTCCTCCACCACTAACATGATCATCTGTTACGCATGTCTCAGGCATTATACCCAGGCTTTCATGGAGACAAACCACATACAACCAGCTATGAGGATGGTGGCACCGTGAAGCCATCAGTCCATCCTAGGTTTTGCGCTTTGCAGTCGAGGACCCTGCAGCCCAGGGATATTGCCTGTTTAGACAGAAACTGGCCTAGCTAATTGGGGATGAAGCAGGTGTTAGCTCCTGGGTGTCTACATTTTGCCTAAGTACAGAGCTTCAGAGGTCTGCAACATGGAATCTTAGCTCATTTTCTCGTGTGGCTCCTCAGACCCCACCAAAGAGCACAAACACTGAGCACTGCTCTTCCTAGAGGTATGGTGTGGGGGCACCTTTCAGAAAGATGTCTATTTTCAGCCTTTATGGATGGATGGCCTACTCCCGCAGATTTACTTGGACTGACAGACTACTGTGGCATTTAAGGAACTTTCCATGGTGTTGCTTGGTGGTTGCCATGCCAACGAAATGAAACAGAAATAGAGCGTTCTAGTGGATTATGCTGGTGGAGGTTTTAAAAACACATTACAGCTCTGACTTTGAAGCTTAAATGATGCCAGGGAATTGTCCTTGCACACAGTAGGCACACCATAACACTGTTGAAAGAATGGGCCCAGTCCTGTAATCAGCTCTATCACTGAGGTGGAAGATGATAGTTGTGGATCCTTAAGGCCATGTAGAGCATGTTCATTTGTCCTTTCCTTGAGAAGTGGTAGCCATGGATTTTCATAATTATATGACATTCTGGGTGGACAATGACTTATCTAATTCCAAAGGACTGCTTCTGATCTTAAGGCCAATTATAAGCCCTGCCACCCAGGGGATGATGATGCACACAGTTCACAGCTGGCATGCTAAAAACATCAGGATTCTGACCCTAGACTCCCCTACAGGCTTTTTATCTGGGGTACTTATCAAACCTTAGTAGGCCAGTGTTTCAACTTTGTGGGATGGCCTTTTGGCAAATGTAATCAACATATTTCAGTAAATGGATTTGCAGAAGCTTTGGATTTTCTTACTGTTTCAAGACACCTGTATTTTATTTTTATTTTTCTCTTTTAGTGAGTTTCTCTCAGAACACTGTCTTTGTATTATTTCCATCCCCCCAGTGCCCCACCAACTCCTCCCAAGTTCCCCCATTCCCTCTCAGTTTTCAAACATAACTTGCCCAGTACAGGTGTCAACATCCATTTTGTGAAAGTGACTGTATATTAATTACTTCCCTTTCTTTTTAAATTATAATTTCTAAAGATGTATTATTTTATGTGTATGTGTATGGGCCTGGGTATGTGTACCACATGAATGCAGGAGCCTGTGGAGGCCAAAAGATGGCATCAGACCCCCTGGAACTGCAGTTACAGATTTACAGATGGTGGGGGGGAGGAGAACGGACGGACGGACAGATGGACCCAATCTGGTTCCTCTGCAAGAGCAGTATTATGAGCTCTTAACCACTGAGACATCTCTCAGCTCTTCTTTTGTTTTTCAATTTATTTTTATATTACTTTTTGTTAAGATAGGGTCTCACTGTGTAGCTCTAGCTAGCCTGTAACTCACTATGTAGACCAGGCTGGCCTCAAACTCACAGAGAACTACCTGCCTTTGCTACCTGAGTGCTGGGATTAAAGGTGTGGGACACCACAACCGACTTGCTTTTCTGAGTGTTATAGGCATGCAGAATCCTTATCAAACAACAAATAATGATGAAATAAGATTGGCAGCGGCAGCTGATTGCCTCGGTGTTGGTCTGAGCCAGGATCCTTCCTGATACGTTGGGACATGGATCCCAACTGCCTCAGTTCATCCATGAGGACATCCATGGCACAGAAAAGTCTGGACGCAGGTCTAAGGGCCGGGATTTGAGTCACAGGACCAGATTTGAATCAACTCTGAGTCCAGAGTTTGAACTTAATTTCATTGATTTGAAATTCATTGGTCAACAAACAGAATAATAAAAACTCCCAAACCAGCAAAGATGTCACTGAGATGTCTGAATTCATGAATTGAGATGAATAATTTGCCTCTGAAAACAGATCCCTGAAGACTATGAAACCCAACGATAACTTTATCCTGAGACTGTCTTAAAACAGGTGAACCCCCCCTCCACCACCACACCCCAACAAACGGAAACATAAGACACTTCCAGAAGGAGAACTCTTCCCTTTCTGGTCAGGAGGGGTTTAAGGGGGCTCAGGGTCAAGAGGGCTCAGGCTGTTGCTTTAACTGTTAACTCCTACACAGTACTAGGTTCAGCTCAGCCTCTTTAACTTAGCCCCAGGACACTCCCTTGAAGGGCTGCAGGAGACTCCGCTTAGTCATTTGGGTACCTCCTTGCCAGTGTGCTTGGATGAAGTTTTAACACAAACACCTGGGCCTTCCCGCTTGCCAGCCACACGCTTCATCCTCGCGCCCACTTTCCAGCCCCCATCCCCGCCCTTGGAATTGCAAAGCGTCCGCCAAGTCTGCAGCACGCGCAGCGCGGGCCAGGCTGGCACGCGTCCCCGCCTCCCTCCCGGGAGGACCGTCAGCATCCTTCCCGGGGGGAACCATCCTGCATCCCTCCCCGTGATGTGATGTCAGCGGAATCCCGAGCTGGATCCAGGAAGGCCCACGGTCTCCCGCCAGCAGGGCCCAGCTGGGGTGACACCCTGGGGGTGGCAGCCCGGGGCGGGTGCTCCGGCCTCGAGTCCCCGGGCGCCGCCCCCGCTGGCCGGCCACGCTCCGCCCCGCTCTCCGCTCGTCCCGGGTGGGAGCCGGCCCGGCTCAGCCTGATTTACGGCTCTGCTGAAAACCGCCCGCTCGGCTCCCGCAGCATCAGCACCAGCGGCTGCAGCGGCAGCAACAAGTCGGGTAAGTGGGCTCGGCTGGCGGCGTGCGCCGGTGTCCCCGGCCCGAGGGGACCCTGGGGAGGGGGTGACCCGCCTGCCCAGCGCTGCCACAGGAAATGGGAGCTTTTCTGCTGACCCTGTGCACTGGGTTTCCGCCGGGCGGGTGGGAGCCTGAGTGCTGAGAGTGCGTGGTTATCCCAGCTCCCCATGCACAGAGGCCACTCGTTCCCACCACCGCTGCAGAATCCCGGCTTCCCATCCCTGCACCCCTTGGCAGAGTCTAAGCCCTGGGCTGGGCCAGGCTTTGCACCTTGTCGCCCCAGAAAACCAGCGGGTTAAACATCCCAGTGTAGTACAGGAAGAAGTTCCCTTCCCTGGAAACTGTCTGCCTGGTCTCTAAGAACCATGCCCATCTCTGCCTGGTCGCTGAGAACCATGCCCATCTGCTTTTTGAGGCAGTTGGGGGTGCAATACAGACTTCACCGTAAGACGCTATCAGGGCGCCTTCAGTGTGGGGCCCAGAGCCCGGGTTACCTTTCTTGGATGAAATGGATACCCTGCTTGCAGAATCTTAACAGTCATCTGTTGCTAGGGCAAAGATGATAAATTTGTACAGGGAAACCAGAACTTGCTGTTATTGGAGGAGTTATTCTAACATGTACCTTGTTCAAACATTGGCCACCTCTCGAAGTTGGCATGTAAAAGACAAGAGCCAAGGCCACCCAGAATGTTCTGTTGTCCACATCTTGTCCGAGGCCCTGCTTATGTCAAAATTTGACACATTGAGTCTCCATATTTCAGTAGCACTGGGTACTAGATCATTTTTATTATGTTAACACTTTATGTCATCACACCAGTAACTAAAAATATTAAAAGCTTGGGCCCTGAAATGCCTCAGTGGGTCAAGGTACTTGCCCCCTCCTCCCCAAGCTTGATGACCTGAATTCAATCCCTGGGACCCACATGGTGGAAGGAGAAAACCAACTCCCACAAGTTGTCTTCTGACCTCCACACACTAACATGCACAAAAATAAAGGTAGTAACATATTTAAGAACAAAAAAATGTTAAAGGCAAAAATCTCAGTTTGAAAATTTTTCAGCTGATGGTATGGTCAAGGCTACTGTGTCTAGCTTGAACCGTCTTTCCCAAACTTGACAAGGATTGCACTTTTAGGATCTGTCTTGACCATTCACGTGCCTCTTCCTTAGTTTTACATTTGTGTGGGGCACATTTTGCATGTAGTATGCTAAATTCAGAAGGGCAAGGAACGTGAGTTTGACTTCGGGGCCACTTTCTTCTGACCTGGGGTTCAGTAGTACTTTGCGTCTTTGCTCAGCTGCAAAGGAGTGCCACCACCTTTGTTGCCCTAGGAGGAGTCGACATGTGTTTTCTGTAAAGGCAAAGTAATAACGCTTTTGCCTCTGTACTCCATCTGCAGTTCTCAGCTCTGACAGTGCTGTGCCACAGCAGCAGCAGATGCTATTCAAGAGGGTGGATGTAGCTGCATTTGGCTTAGGGGTTGTAGGTTTAAGTTCAACATAAAAGTCAACATTAAATATTATGTACAATAACTGCTTAAAACCAAGAAGCTAAACCAGTGCTGTCACTGTGGAAATCCCTATGGAGATTTCTCAAAAAACTAACAATAGAGCTATCATATGACCCAGCTCCTCCTCTCCTGGACGTATGCCCAAAGAACCCCACATCCCACTGGAGATGCTTGCACAACTATCTGTGTTTATTGCTGCATGGTTCCCAATGGCTAAGAATTGGAATCAGCCTAGATGTCCATCGACAAACAGAGAAACAGGAAATTGGTAGAGGTGCAAAATGGGAGTTTTATTTAGCTGTTTAGAAAAATGAATCATGACCTTTGCAGGAAAATGAACAGATCTGGAAATTACATTAAGAGAAATAAGTGAAACCCAGAAAGACAGATGTCACTTTTTCTCTCAAATGAGGCTTGGATTTTAATTTTATATATGTGGACACATGTGCGTTTGTGTGGGTGTCAGTCATAAAACTAGAAAGCAGGCCATGATAGTGGAAAAGGATATCTTAAAATAAGTCGAGGTTGGGTGGGGAGTGATAGGGTTCATTTGATTGAGGTGGGTGTTGAGGGGAGGAAGAAAAAAGAGGAAGTGAGGAGAGGACCAAAAACACCTTTGCACGAAAATGCCATAATGAAATCCATTGCTTTGGATGCTAATTATAAAAAGCTAATTAGAGACAAAAAGCCACCGCCATCAGGGAGAGTCACCTGTCATTTGCCTACAGTAGCATGTATTTAGACAGTCATGTAAACTTCGGTTCTCTTCCCTCCTCTTAGGACTTTCAGAGTGATGCAACAGAAGGCATTTGAGGAAAGCAGATATCCCTGGCAGGAGTCCTTGGAGAATGTCGCTGTGTGCCTGCCACTCCGCTGCCCGAGGTGTGGAGACCATACCAGATTTAGAAGCTTGTCGTCCTTGAGGGCCCATCTGGAATTCAGTCACAGCTATGAGGAGAGAACCCTCCTGACAAAATGCAGCCTCTTGCCACCTCTCAAAGACACAGAGCTGGTCAGTTCCTCAGAACTCCTGAAACGGGGAAAACTGAGGGGCCACGCGAAGGTGACCAAGCAGAAGCCCAGCTATGTTAACTTGTACAGCATCTCCCATGAACTCGCCAAGGACCGGAAGCCATTTGAGGTTGTGGCAGAGAGGCCGGTGTCTTATGTGCAGACCTACACTGCCGTGGACATTCGGGCAGACTCGCTGGATGCTCCCCGGTCGAGCCCTGGACTCCCCACCTCGGACCCCAAAGCTGCTTTCGAGGCCCACGTCCGAGAAAAGTTCAACCGCATGGTGGAGGCTGTGGACAGAACCATTGAGAGGAGAATTGATAAACTCAGCAAAGAGTTGGCCCGGAAGACGGCTGAACTGTTGGAAGTTCGGGCAGCCTTTGTGCAGCTGACCCAGAAAAAGCAGGAGGTTCAGAGAAGGGAGCGAGCCCTCAACAGACAGGTGGATGTGGCGGTGGAAATGATCGCCGCGCTGAAGCAGCGCCTGACCGAATCGGAGGAGGAGCTTTTCAGGAAAGAGGAGTAAGTGCTGCAAAACTGGATGCTAATCCTTGTGAAGGACCCCTCCCCAAGTCACCTGCTGACCCCAGCTGGGGGGACCCCTCCCCAAGTCACCTGCTGACCCCAGCTGGGGGGACCCCTCCCCAAGTCACCTGCTGACCCCAGCTGGAGGGACCCCTCCCCAAGTCATAGGCAGATGTTCAGCAAGTTTTGCTGTGTGTTATTTGCAGGCATCTGGGCCAAATTCTCCTTGGTACTGTTGTACTGGGTGGCAGGAGGTTTTGACATTCTGTACGCTCCCTAGGTGTGGTGCCTAGTCTGGCAACATTTCAAACAAAATACCCAACTCCTTATTACCTTGGAAACTGTAGGCTACAGACAATGGCTTTAGAGAGTGGGATAACACAGCCATCCATCAGCCTACCCCACAGCATCTGAATGGGAAGGCAGTATGTTAGTGAACTATCCCTCAAGTGCCAATCTATTTTATATTCAAGAACATGAGATGCTGTCTTATTCAAGTATCAAGTGTGCTCCCAAAACAAATAGTTTTGGCTCGTTTGCCATTTTGGATTATCAGCCCATCTAGGGAAATGTCAACTATTGAGAATCCTTTTAGTTATAATTTATATTTACGAGGAGGCATTATGAAACTCAGAAAAAAGACTGATAGAGTTATACCTCTGTGATTTTAGTTTGGGAAACTTCCTTTTGTAAAATGATGCTTAATGCTGGAATAAGTCTTGACTGCTTACAAAATGTTGACACTTATTTTTTAATTTTATTCATTTATTTAATTTATTTGTATGAATGCTTTGTCTGCATGTGTGTAAGTTTACCTGTGTCTCGCAATGCTTGTGGAGACCAGAAGAGGGTGTTAGATACCCTGGAACTGGAGTTATGGGCAGTGGTTAGCCTCCATGTGGGTGCTGGGAACCGAACATGGGTCCTCTGCAAGAGTAGCCAGTGCTCTTAACTGCTGAACTATCTCTCCAGCTCTGACATTTGTTTCTTAAGGTGGTCATAGAAGCTATCATTGGAAAAAAATCATCAAAATTGTAGAAGTATTTCCTTATCAATGTGTTTAAACTTAGCCGAATTTGGAAGAGCATGCATCCCAAATCAATGTATTTCCCAAATGCAGAATGTTGGATTTCTCCATGGAAGGAAGCTCACGAGTCATAGAATCCAGGCCATAAAAATTGGTAGATGAAAACATCCTAGAAAGTTCATTTCCAAATAATTTGAGTGTTCTCACAGAGATTAATTTCGTCTCTCTTTGACCTCCGGTACTTTAGTGTCTTCTTAAAACTCAGTAACTGAAACTTCCAGAAACCCCATGTCCTGAAGAGAGCTTTATTTGCTGTCATTAAATGTTCACTTTCTCCGTTGTAGGGATGCCTGGATGCTTTTTATTCACACTGGACATTTTTTTAAAAAGTCATAGTTAGGATGACTCTGAATCAGCCACTGTATTAATTCTTTTACACATTGCCGCGACAAACTACCCCACAAAAACAATTTAAGGGAGAAAGGGATTATTTCAGCTCATACTTCAAGGGTGCAGCTCATCACAGTGGGGAGTTATGGTGGCGGGAGCGTTAGGCAGCTGGTCACACTGTGTCCACAGTCAGGAAGCAGAGAGAGAGGAAAGCTAGTACTCAGCTTGCTTTCTCCTTTTTTTTTTTTCAGTCCTGGACCCCAACCTGTGTGATGTTGTCACTCACATTCAGCATGGGTCTTCCTGACTGTGATGGTTAGTTTTAACTGTAGTACACCACAATCTAGAAACTCCTGGGAGAGTTGCAATGAGGTTGTCCTACGGGCATACCTGTGGGGGATTGTCTTGACTGACTGTGGAAGACCCAATCCACTGGGGGACACCATTCCCTAGGTAGTGGATCCTGGACAGTTGTGTGTAGGGAGGGGTTGAGCATAAGCAGGCATGCATGCATTCTGTCTCTGCTCTTGACTGGGTGTGAGGAACGTTTTCAGCCTCCGGCCACCGTGACTCCTCTCTAAAAGACTACCCTGGAACTGTAAGCCAGACAAACACTTTCTCCCTTAAAATGCTTTTGTCAGAGTATTTTATCCTACCAACATAAAGGAAAGTAGGATGCTGGCTTGGTTATAACTTCCTGGATACAACTTCCTAGATACACCAAGAAGCCTGTTTCCATGGTGATTCTAAATTTCATCAAGGTGACAATCAGATTGATGCTCAGAGCTACTCCTCTTCTTTGTTCCAGGAGAGTGATTGCTGATGAACATGTGTTGTTGTTCTGGTTTGGTTTCTGGTGTTTCCTGGGGGAAGTTAGTGTTTGGATCTATCATGGTGACCAGGGTGACCTACGCCCCAATGCTGAAAAGATGGCTGATGCAGTTAACTGGATAATATTTTTGATTCAATAGTAGTCCATTTAAAGGGCCACAAAGTGAAGGCATTTATCTTTATTTCTTTTTTTATATTATATTTCCAAAGAGCACAAATAATAAAGGACATGAGTTTAGGTGGTGGTTGTCTGGAGTGTGGACTGACCAGCTCATAGAGGGGATCACGTGTAGATGTAAGGGGATCACGTGTAGATGTAAGGGGATCACGTGTAGATGTAAGGGGATCACGTGTAGATGTAAGGGGATCACATGTAGATGTAAGGGATCACGTGTATCATAGAGGGGATCACGTGTAGATGTAAGGGGATCACGTGTAGGTGTAAGGGGATCACATGTAGGTGTAAGGGGATCACGTGTAGATGTAAGGGGATCACGTGTAGGTGTAAGGGGATCACGTGTAGATGTAAGGGATCATGTGTAAGTGTAAGGGGATCATGTGTAGATGTAAGGTGATCACGTGTAGATGTAAGGGATCACGTGTAGGTGTAAGGGGATCACGTGTAGGTGTAAGGGGATCACGTGTAGATGTAAGGGGATCACGTGTAGATGTAAGGGGATCGCGTGTAGATGTAAGGGGATCACATGTAGGTGTAAGGGGATCACGTGTAGATGATATAAGGGGATCACGTGTAGATGTAAGGGGATCACGTGTAGGTGTAAGGGGATCATGTGTAGATGTAAGGTGATCACGTGTAGATGTAAGGGATCA